TTATAATAATAGTAATATTTAAAACATAAAAATAAAATCAGCTTAATATGAGGCCATCTTAAACCTTAAAATTTAAAAAGCTGTTCTTGCAGGGCGTGGTGATGCAGGCCTTTAGTCCCAGCACTCTGGAGGTGGAGACAGGTGGATCTCTGTGAGATAGAGGCCAGCCTTGTCTCCACACACACCTCCAGGGTTGCTGTGGCTACAGCGAGACCCTACCCACCCCCACAAGCTGTTCTTAAAGTACTACATGACTACATTTATTATATTTTTATTTATTTGGTCATCAAAGATCTATATAGTGGAAAATAAGCATATTTCTATCACATTCAACTTGTATAAGTCACATAAATAAATAATTACTGAAGTGTAGTGAGGTTCACACAAAAGCAGACAAAAATGAAATGTCAATGAAGCGTGAAATACAACTTCTTAGAGCTATTCTAAGAAGCAAATTTAATAATCAATAGCAAAGCTGAATTAAGGATAACAACTCTTCAACTTCATCATTATAAAAAGGAGCAAAATTTGCTACAAATACTTATTGAACATCTCAAGAAATAAATACTTTGAGTTTCTCTCATTCATTCAACACATAACCAATGAAATGTAGTTTTATCAAATGTCTATAAGGGCCTGAAACCACAAATAAGCATTTTTCCTGGAAAAAATACTTTAAGGAGAGAGAAGATTGTTTTTAGAGGCGGAGCATTAAGTAAAGTGTTAAATCTTTCCCCCAAAGATGCCCTTCCCAGTGTCTCTTAGTGCCTTACCTTAAATAGATAGAAACTGTGGTCGCTGTGCTGCCTCAGTTTTTCCTGCAGCCTCTGCACTAGGAGTCTGACTTGTTCTATCCGAGATGCTGTGATCAGAGGCTCCACTTTCTGGATTTCTTCTACTAAAGAGTTCACATCAGTACTGTAATTCACATCAAAATGCTTCTGTCAAAACTGCATCTATGTTCTTTACATGAAGAATTACTTTATTTTGAGCTAGGGAGATGGCAGGTACAAGTGCTTGCTACACAAGCCTCGGGACCTCAGTTTGAATCCCCAGAGCCACCTACAAGCCAAGTGCATATCAGGAGTATCCTTGATCTCAGTGCTTCTATAGGGAGATGAGAGAATTGCCAGAAAATTCTGGGCCACATAATCTGGCACACACAGGAAGAAAAACACCAGAGACCATCTCAAACAAGGCAGATGGTGATGGCCTCCTTGGGAGTTTATCTTCTGACCTCTACACACACCTACATTCATACACAGGAATGTTCATGCATACACATAAAGACACACACATAAACACACAAAAAGAATTTTAAAAAAAGAAGTACATTATATTATGAAGCATAGGGTTTATAAAATGTTCCAAAATACTGTTGACTTTCCTAACAGGTTTCTTTAAAAATATAATATATGTAATCATGAAGGCAGTGAAATAAGGTGCTTGATTTTTAGAACACATCCTTCAATACCTGAGACTCATCTCCTGGCCTATGTGCCAAGGTTTTCCAGTGATATCTAGAGAAACGATCTGAGTGTGTGCACCCTGCCAACATTCATGTTGAAGCTTGATGTTGATGTGACAGCATTAAGATGTGGGGACTTTGGAGGTGACATAGACATGGGGCTGGTGGCTCCCTAAGGGCTGCTTGATGGGACGAGTTTGTCTCATCTGCCCCTTTGTTCTTTTCTTCTCTGTGGAAGGACACAGCATCCTTTTCCTCTGGAGCAACAGCACCATTGTGCCATTGTGGAAGCAGATGAAGCACCAGAAAACCAAGACTGCCAGAACCTTGAGCTTGGGCTTTGCAGCCCACAGAACTGAGAGATACAAACTTCCATTCTTCATAAATTTTCCAGCCTTGGGTACTTTTGCTATACTAACACAAAGATGGCTAGATACCTCAAAAAGGTTGAAGACATACTAGTTCTGATCATAATGGCCTTTTCTTATCTGCTTTCACTGTGTTTTGAATGTGTCCTGCCCTGTGCTTCTCTTACTTAATCCTCTAATGAGCTGCTAATGGAAAGCTTTTGTCATAAGCACTGTAAACGTGAAGAAACTAATGTTCAGAAATGAAAGGCTTTGTTAAGTGTTTAGGGAATGATGGACTGCCTAGCCATAAATAAGCTCTTACAAAATGATAATAATTATTGTTCCTATTTCTTATGGACTGTAACATTTTCTTTTTCAATTTTTACTTACTATTTTATGTGTGAGTGTATTGCCTGCATGTCTGTAAGTGCACCCATGTTGTGCAGTGCCTGTGGCAGTCAGAAGTCAGATTCCCCAGAACTGGAGTTACAGACAGTTTTTAGTCAGCATGTGGGTGCGAGGAATTGAACCCAGGTGCTCTGGAAGAGGAACCAGTGTTCTTAACCACTGAACCGACTCTCCAGTTCCAACATTTTCTTTTTTACTTATTTTTTTGTTAATTATTTTTTTAATAGCCACATACTTAGAAGAAGCATTTCATTACAACAGCATTGACATAGTCAATAAAAATTTTCTGAGCTAAGATGTATCTTTTTCAGAATTGGCTATAAATTTTTAGGTTTACATTTGAATTATTACAGTTATACAATATTGTATTCAGTATAACCCTATAACATAAAGTAAAATGAGGTTTTAACCTTTAAAAAAGATCTCCATTTCATTATTAAAATACACAGTTTCATACAGAAAAATTCATTTTCAATGCAATTGACATTAAGATATTTACAAATGCGTTTCTAATTATTCTGATTATTACTAGTGATAGTTGGTTACTTTCTGAGCTCCTTGGCATCTGAGCATGGATATAAAGTCTTCAGGTAGATGTCAATGGTAATGTTTTTCACATCTACTAATTATTATTTTTTTAATCATTATTTTTAAAACTTTTAATAACTACATGATAAGAAGCATTTCACTACAGATTTAACATATTCAGTAACACACTTCAGAGCAAGAGTACATCTCTTTCACAAGTTTCAGTAAGGTTCTAAGTTCACAGTTGAATTAATACAGTTATACAGTGTTGAACACATTATAAGCCCTGTAAGACATAAAATTGAATGAGTTTTTAACCTTTAAAAAAGATCTCCATTTCATTTTAGAATATATTGTTCCTTGCAGAAAGACTCATTGTTTTTGCTACTAAGACTGAGATGTTGGTGCATACATCTCTAATCTGTGTGCATTTGATTATTACTAGTCATAATCGGTTGCACTTGGATCCTTGGTGCCTGTGTATGATTACGAAGTCATCAGCTAGATTTCAATGGTAATGATTATCAGCTCTAATAATTAGCATGACATAAATTTCCATGCTTCCTATTCAATTATAATACATTATTTTAAAATTTGTTGATTTTTTTTTATGTGTGTGTACATCACACAGAACATCCCAAACCATCTTATTCGGCTATACACCCACTTCCCAGATGGCACCCTCCCATAGCCTCCCTTCCCCCACCAGAGCCCTTATTCTCTGATATCCCTGCTACTGTCTGCTGTGTTATTGGCACTCCAACTAATCCCCAATACTTGACCTTCTGGTGAATCTAGTCAGCCTATCTAGAGGTCTTTGTTTTAGGACGGTCAGTTGTTCCTCATCTAGAAGTAATCAGTTGTCAATACTCCTTTAGATAAGATTAGGGTCTGCTGTTCATTTTCCCAGTTCTATGCTGGGTTACTATTTGGGGGAGTCCATTTGGTCACCCTGGACAACAACTCAAAAGATGGTATCTGCTATCTGGCATTGTTTCTTGTTATGTAGCCTTTAGCTATACATATAGGCTCTTAAGAAATTATATTGACCCCCTTTAATCTTTGGTTATATTTTACTTTTGGAGGTTTAAGGCCATACAGTTGGCCCAGATAAATTTATTTTTAATCTTAAGATCATTTGAGGATCTGTTCCTCAGGGGTCACATGGGCTTGGGAGGAGCCCCTGGCTCATTTCTTTTACCAGTTCCGCCTATGTGAAGATAAGTCAAAGGTCCTACTTGACCATGGTTGGCTTTGCTTGGAAGCATGGAGGAAGTGATTCTTCTGTATTGACCCTCCTCTTTGTAGACGGGACACTGGTTCAGGTCCATCTGATGGGGTGTCCTCAGCCTCCCTCACCAAGAGGACAGATGACCTACCACAATTACAGGACATTTTTGAGAGATGCTCATAGTCCCCTGGAACTAGGAGACCTAGGAGGGCAAGGAGCAAAAACTGTTCTTTATGTCCCTCTGACCAAATTAGTATAGGCCTCAAAGTACATCTGTTAAACATCCAAGAAACCAGTCTGGTACTTTTAATTACTGTGTCTCATGTAGATAAATCTTGGGCCAAGACCAATTGTTCTCAGATAAACCTTACCTAAACATATATTTCTTGATCTGCTATGTATAATTTGTCAGTAGGTTGTAGG